CCACCCAGAAACTTTTATCTCAAAATTTATTTTCTTCATACAATGCAGTTTTTAATGACTGGGTGTAACTTAGGAGTGATCGAAGAAGTTAAAGAAAATATTGCGGTTGACTATGGACATTATTTACCGCATAGACCGGTGATCAAAGAAAATAGCTCAACACCAATTCGACCGGTGTTTGATGCGTCTGCGAGGAAACAATCGTCTCCTTCTCTAAATCAGTGTTTGGAGTGTGGACCAAATTTGATAGAACTAATTCCATCTCTTTTGTTGAGATTTCGGGAAGGCAAGTTTGCTGCTATAGCAGACATTGAAAAGGCTTTCTTACAGATCAGTGTAAGGCCTCAAGATAGAGACTGGCTTCGGTTTTTTCTGGTGGGATGATGTGGAAGAAAGGAAAACGAAAATATTTCGTCATACTAGGGTAGTATTTGGGGTTAAGAGTAGTCCTTTCCTTTTGGCAGCTGTTATAGAATTCCATCTACAAAAGTACATGAAAAATTCTTCATATGATACGGAGATAATAGCTAAACTCTTGCGTAGCTTCTACGTAGATAACGTTGTTGCCAGTTTTGACAAAGAATCCGAGATGATTCAGTTCATCGAAAAATCTCGAGAAATAATGAATGAAGGAAAGTTTAATCTTCGAGGTTGGTTACATAATGGAGATAACCTGAAACAGGAAACTATTTCACCCGTATTGGGTCTGTTATGGAACTGTCAGAAAGATAATTTAACTTTGAATCTGAATTGGCTAGAAGATTTTGAAATGGGTATAATAACGAAGAGAACAATTCTCGCTGTAACACACAAAATATTTGATCCTATTGGTATTGTGAGTCCTGTTCTCTTGTATCCTAAAATATTGTTGCAGAACCTATGGAAAACAGGAATTTCTTGGGATACTGAAGTTGACGAGAGTACAAAACAAAATTTTGTGAATTGGTATAAAAGCCTTTTTCTCTTAAAAGAAATATCCCTCCTACGTTGGATACATTCCAGCAAGGACAATAGGAAGTTCTGCAGCATTCACACATTCTGTGATGCCAGTAGTAATGCGTATGCTGCTGCAGTTTTCTTGAGAACTGTGACGAATTCTGGAGTTGAAGTTCATCTGTTGGCATCGAAGTCTAGGAGTAGCTCCCGTAAAATCTATTACGATCCCTCGTCTGGAATTGATAGCTGCCACGATAGGTGCCAGACTATGCTCTTCTGTTTTAAATGGTTTGCAATGGCAAAATATGGAAACGCATTTTTGGACGGATTCTACAACAGTTTTGACATGGATTCAAAGGGAAGAGATTGTCTGGGCTGTCTTTGTGGAAAACAGAGTCAGGGAGATTAGGAAACTGACGGATCCAAAAACGTGGAAACATATTGCTGGAACAAAAAATCCAGCTGACCTCCCATCAAGAGGTTGCACCGCTAAACAACTTTTAGTAGTTAGATGGTGGGAGGGCCCCGACTGGCTGAAGAAAAATCAGGAAGAATGGCCTAGACAAAGGGAAATACCGGACATGGAAATAGTGAATTCAGAAAAAAGGAAATCAGTCATTTCTGCACTAAATACGCAAAGGGTAGAACATTTTTTTGAGAAATATTCATCTTACCATAAAATGTTAAGAATAACTGCTTGGATATGCAGATTTATCAACAACTGCAGAAGACCAGATTCTAAACAATCAGGAGAACTCACGGTCCCTGAAATAGAAACTGTAGAAAAGAAAATATGCAAGATAATACAAATAGAAGCATTTGGCAAAGAACTTAAAGTTAGCAACCTTTGTACCTTTTTTGACTCAGATGGCCTTATTCGGTTAAAGACCAAGATTACTAGAAGAGAGGAAGAAGAAAATTTTCTCTGTCCAATTGTATTGCCCTCAAATCATGACTTAGTTCATAGGTTAATTTTAGATTACCATTTGCGACTATCCCACGCTGGTGTGCAATTCGTACTAGCCAATATTCGACAGAAATTCTGGGTCCTGAGAGGAAGAAAAACAGTACGTAAAGTTCTTATGAAGTGTGTTCGCTGTAGAAGATATAGCGCAAAGAATATAGAGACTGTTCCAGCACCTCTTCCTGAAGATCGAGTTCGAGATGCTCTGGTGTTTGAAGTGACCGGAGTCGATGTAGCCGGTCCTCTTTATTTTACGAAAAGGAAAAAAGGCATGGATCTTGCTCTTTACTTGCGCGGTCTATCGCGCGATACATCTTGAACTGATAGAAAGTTTATCAACAAATGCGTTCATCTTGGGATTAAGGAGATTTATTGCCAGAAGAGGTCGTCCAAGTATTATTTACAGCGACAATGGCACTAATTTCGTTGGAACTGAAAATCTTTTAAGATCGATAGATTGGAAAGAAATAGAATGTCATTCAACTAGTATGAGAATACAGTGGAAGTTTAATCCCCCAACTGCTTCATGGTGGGGCGGTTGGTGGGAGAGGTTGGTACAAACAAACAGTGAAGAAGATGTTGAGAAATGTTCTCGGCAAGTCCTGTGTCTCTTATGAGGAAATGTTGACTATACTTTGTGATATCGAATCAGTAATCAACTCAAGACCCCTTACGTACCTTTCAGAAGATCCAAATGATCTTACGGCACTAACTCCTTCAATGTTTCTACAAGATGTGCACGACGTCGGAGTGCCTGACTTAGACTACCTGGATACCATTAATCTGACAAAAAGATACAAGTTCTTGCAGAACTTAAGAGAACATTTTCGCAAAAGATTTCGTGATGAATATTTAGCTATCCTAGTGCAAAAACCATCTAAACGATCTACTCGGACTATCAACAAAAATGACTTGGTGTTTGTCGGCAGCGACAACAAGAAGAGAATAGATTGGCCAATAGGTCGTGTTGTAGAACTATATCCTGGGAAAGACAACGAAAGTACGTGTTGTCAAAGTGAAAACTGCAACGGGTGAACTCCTAAGACCTGTGAAACGTATTTATCCTCTCGAACTTGATAGACCTAACTTGTTTAGTGACTTCACCATGAACATAAAAAACTCTGCGGATAAGTGTTACAGTGATATGAACTATCAAACTAGATATGGACGTAAAACTGTAAAACCTCTTACATATTTTTAAATTGCTATACTAATTTTTGTTTCTTTTCAGTATTTTAGAAATTTAATTGTCCTAACAGTTGTCAATTGGAACATGTTATCTGGATATGGTATGAATGTAATGCAGAAAATGTTTAGATGTGTAATCCTTCTTTGTAAGTATTAATTTTAGAGCATTAGTTACTTTTCATATTTGTGAAAGTTGTACTTGAATTTTTGTTTGATTATTGATAAATTTTTTTTTTTGATTTTCCCATCTTATCGAGGTAAAATCAAAAGGTGGGAGGATGTCACATTCTTGCCACTAGGTGGCGGGCATCTCTTCCTTTACTTTTGCTGTAATTAAGTTCCGAGAAGCAGTCGAGATTGGAACCGCTCTGAGGAGCGTAAAGACTCAGAACTAAAAATGTACTGTTTTAAAATAATTATCACGTACCTTGTAAATAGTGTATATTAGCTTTTTATTTCAATAAATAATTAAAAGACAAGATGGCCTGCTAATTGTAATAGAAACTCTTACTGGAAAACGTGATTATTAGAAGCCTGGCGTCGAGAACACTGAAGATGCAGCAGGTAAGGAATTTTACATTAATTTTATTGTAAATAGAAGAACCTGATGCAACATTCAGATTTTATCTTGACTTTCCAAATTATTATTTATTTTTTAATAAATTTCAATATGCTAATGATTTTCATGTTACATTAGTATAAATTCCACAATTAGCACAGGAAAACAAAATCCGCGCTTTATATTAGAAGAGAAATTTCTTTTCCACATTCAAAACATCTACATTGGCGATGTTTTGGCAACGGGTACATTAACCCTAGACTAATTTAATTATAGCTATTATTACAGAAATTAGCAGATAACTCAGGTTATTGTACACAAGAATTTCACTTTACTTGCACATTATAAACATCAGAAGAAGATATAAACTCTAAATGAAGGAGTAATTAACATTATACTTACTAAGCAAAGTTCAGCGCCTGGACCAGGTTTCCAATTGTCTCTTCGGCAATTATTTACCCATATTTTTCTTCTTTCTTCATTTTTAGGAAATTTTACCAATGTATGACCTTTCCGTGAATGATTTGAACAATTAATAGCTGTACATCCGCCCATTTTACACAAAAAAAAAAAAAAAAAAAAAAACACAAAAAATTGTTGCACCGTAACAACACAGCCGCCATTAAATCTCCCACTTGGGAGCGCGAATGCCTGATGATTCAGCCTGGTATATAGGAGCCTTACTTCTTACAGAATAAGCGTTTAACATGTTGGTGTGGGCTTTTTCGTTCCTTAAAAAGTTTCGACTTCCATCAAAGTGTTTGTTCCCCAAGGAAAGTCAGTCGTGCATTCAGAAGTTAGAAGCGATTGCTAAGGCTTATTTATTAAAATAAAATTTATCAGCTGAAATTATGGCTGCAGCCATAATTTCAGCTGATAGCGTGTCAAAGCCCTTTTATTTAGGGCTCATTGGCGTTTCGGTTAGAATTAAGGTTTTCTTATAAACTGAGAACTAGCCGAGCTCAGGTAAACTCCAGCACAATTTAATTATTCAATATTTTTAATTTTCTTTGATTCATACCTTTATCCATCCGATACGTATCTTAATGCGCATACACCCAAAAAAAAAAAAAAAAAAAAAAAAGTTCGTAACTTTTTTTTTAATACAAATCCATCGCGTATAGAAGTTTTGTAGCTTTGTAGCAGAAGCCATTCCTAATCTCTGACTTGATATATCATAGCTGTTCAGACTATTGCAGTGGATTTAATTCCATATACAACTTTTCTAAAAGTCATTTTCATTAGCCTCTTCGTAAATAGGGATTTTGTAGGGATTTGCTAATATCATTTGCGTATTTAATAATTTAATAGGGAATGTATAAGGATTAAAAGTACTTCAACTCTAACGTGTTTTTGTGATGCAATAGGAGACATTTATCGTTGACAAATTGAAAACATTTTTTTCTCCAAAATATAATCATATTTCAACTCTCTTTAACACTTTTCATTGCAAATTAGCGAGCAGCTGCAGAATTTGCATTCATAGTGTTTGCACTGTAATATACTGACTGATTCGTGCAGAAAACTTGTACGTTTTTCATACGTACTATCTCTGCTGAGAAAAGCTGTGTCAATACTTTTGTAGTTTATAAAAATGTGTTACGAAAATTCTTCTGCCTCTGCTGCTTATGACATCTTTTACTTTTCTTCTTGAATTGTAAGTATTTGCTTCAGTATATCCCTTTCTTATTATTTGTCCGTTCACCTTTTTGATTCAGGTTCAGTCAATTTTTTCTCAATTTAGTTATAATGTCTTGCCCAAGAAATGCTGATGTGGATTTTTCTTAGTTATTGCTACCTCAGTGCATAAAATTATGGGGAAAATAAAGCATTTCATCTATGTGGTCATCTTTAATCTGCCATATGTATGCACCAATTATTGTTTATTATGAAATTCATGAAAATCATGAAATATTCATGAAAATGAAATTCATGAAAATAACAATTAATTTATCTGTGAACATTCCTCAAATTATAAGACTTTGACATAACGTTTTATATTAAAACTAGTGATATATCACCATTAACTGCTTGCAGGTGTCCGTATGATTTTCACTTTTTATTGCCATTTCTAAACTTGATATGTTTTTAGCCCACATATTCATTTTTGAATTATTAGTGTGCTTAGTAATTAGTGAATTCCCCTCCATTGGTAATAGTTGTAAAATAGTGGGAGTTTCTTGGACACTAGCTTGGATCAAATTTAGCAAAGAAGCAATTTAAACCTTCCATTTACAAACATCTGTTCATTACATTTTGTTTGCCACATGCTGTTTTGTGGTTACCTTTGAAGACTGGGCGTAAGGTTTTGGCGACTTTGGAGGCGATGAGGTACTACTACCTGGGATTGGTCATTGTGAGCAGGGAAATGCTTAGAAATGAGATCATGGGATATGTCATGTGATATTAATGGACGAATTACGGTTCTCAAATCGGAAAAGAGGGGAAATCAAGAAAAATCTGGAAATTTTGTATTTCAATTTTGTGTGTTGTGTGAAACAGTGTTTGTTTTTTAGATCCCATGCCCGTAACTAACATTCGAAAGGGTATTTATGTTCTGGTGATATTTTAATTTTAAGTAGTGTTTTTGTTTTAATATTTAATTAAATGATAGTTATTTTGTGATTTTATGTTTGTAGGATTTGGTATACGTTTTAGTTGAAGTTGTGCATGGAAATCATTTAAAATATCTGACACTAAGTATTTGTAATGGTTTGTTGAATTTGTTGTGAAATGTAAGATGGGATTTAGAGGTAAAAGTTTTGGATATTTTATTTTTTATTGTGGTTCATATTGGAAAGGGTAATACTTTTCGCGATCAGGTAATTTATATGTGTCTTTTTACCGGGTTTAAAGATTGAAAATTGTCATGTATTTTGTTTAATTTATGAGAAAAAAAGCAGTGTACTGGATATAGTGAAGAGTGTGTGTGCCATTTTTGTGCAATTCTGGATGTTTTTTTAAGTAAAAATAAGTCGGTTTTTGTACATGGTTTAGTTATATTTTAATTAAATGATAGTTTTTGTGAATTTTTATGTTTGTAGGAATTTGGTATACGTTTAAGTTGAAGTAAACGTGCATGGAAAAATTTAAATATTTGATACTAAGTATTTGTAATGCTTGCGGTATGAATTTGTTGGTGACGTATAATGTAATAGATGATTTAGAGGTAAAAGTTTTTGGATATTTTATTTATTTTATATGTGGAAATGTTCATATTTGGAAAGGGTAAATACTTTTTCGCGATCAGGTAATTTCATATGTGTTCTTTTTACCGGGTTTTAAAGATTGAGAAAATTTGTCATGTATTTTCTTTCGTAAAATTTTTCTAATTTATGAGAAAAAAGCAGTGTACATGGATATAGTGAAGAGTGTGCACAATGCCATTTTTGTGCAATTCTGGGATGTTTTTTTAAGTAAAATAAGCGGCGGTACATGGTTTAGTTATATTTTAATTAATGATAGTTATTTTGTGAATTTTATGTTTAAGGAATTTGGTAACATGTTTAAATTGAAGTAAACGTGCATGGAAATAATTTAAATATTGATACTAAGTATTTGTAATGGTTGCGGTATGAATTCGTTGGGACGTGTAATGTAAAGATGATTTAGAGGTAAAAGTTTTTGGATATTTATTTATTTTATATGTGGAAATGTTCATATTTGGAAAGGGTAAATACTTTTTTCGCGATCAGGTAATTCATATGTTTTTTTACCGGGTTTAAAGATTGAGAAAATTGTCATGTATTTTGTGAAAATTTTCTAAGAAAAAAGCCAGTGTACATGGATATAGTGAAGAGTGTGCGCAATGCCATTTTTTGTGCAATTCTGGATGTTTTTTGTATGTAAAATAAGTCGGCGTGTACACGGTTTATGTGTATGTGTTATTTTGAAAAACGCGTAAGGAGTTGGTATTGGCACTTTTCCCAATTTTGCAGTGATATTTGTCATGATTAAGCAGTTTTGTTAGATAAAATTTCTAGCATAAGTGTAATTCGGCTAGTAGATTGTTGGAAGAAGTGTTCAGTAGATAAAAATAAAAGAAACATGTCTTTACTTCGTGAAGACAAAATGGCGGCGGGAAAAAAAAAAAAAGAGAGTTGGTCGTGTTCGCCAAAAAAAACGCCAAGTTACCATAATAAAGATCAACCGAAAGCCTTTTGGAGATGTCACTAACGCTATGATAATTTTAACGAACTGCTTACGCTCGCTGTATGTAAAAATAAAATAAAAATCAAATTCAAATAATTGAATTGTTTTATTTTTAAATAATTACAAATAATATTGTTTAGGGTACCCCTTGGCAAACTTGCCTTTTTTATCCAGTTCGCCCACAAAAAAAAAAAAATGAATTGCACAAAAATGAATTGCACAACATGTACATCACATTTAAAAAAATATTGCACAAAAAAAAAAAAAAAATTACAAAAACAGGTGCGCATGACTTTATTCCACTCACACTTTATCGTTACACATCGATATATTTTCACTTACAAAATCAAAGGAGCACCAAATTCTAAAATATAGGCAAACAAAAAATACATAATCTCAATAATATACATTTTAAACCAAACAATAAAATAACATAGAAAAAGGAAAAACATGTTATACATTTAAGCACTACCAAAAGCAAATATTCACTTACAATGATTTTCGAGTTCGCTTCGTACACCCAGAGCCCACATAAAAATCAAAATATCAATCATACTCAAATGACTTTTTTCAAATCAGGTACTCTTTCTGATCGAACGCTTCACGTAGTGACCATCTGAACCTTTCTTCCTACAAATCCATCTAAATGGTTTTTACGTTCGACTAGACGCATATCCTTCCTACATACAGGACACTTATAATGGCTACTAAGTAAACCTTCATTTACACACCAGTCAATTAAAGCTCTTTTCCCTCCAAATCGTACAGAAACCTCAAATTAATCTTACTACATTCGGCCATTCTACCGTCTAAAGAATCAAACCAGCACAGACCACAAAAATGCTTACAAAACACCCCGTGATTCAAAATTTCCCAGAATCATGCACCCGATTACATCACAAAGACATGTTTCTTTTCTTTATATTTACTCAACACTTTTTCCAACAATCTACTAGCCGAATTACACTTATGCTAGAAATTTTATGTAATAAAACTGCTTAATCATGACAAATATTAACTGCAAAATTGGGAAAAGTGCACAATCGCAAACTCCTTGCACGTTTTTCAGAATAGCGCATACACATAAACCATTTACATGTCAACTTATTTTTACTTAAAAAAACATCCCAGAAATGCACAAAAATGGCATTGCACACACTCTTAACTTTATCCATCTACACTGCTATTTTCTCATAAATTACAAAAATTTGCACGAAAATACAGGAAAATTTTCTTAATCTTTAAACTCGGTAAAAAGCACATATATGAAATTACCTGATCACGAAAAAGTATATACCCTTTCCAAGGATGAACATTTCCACGTATAAAATAAATAAAATATCCAAAAGCTTTTACCTCTAAATTATCTATTATATTATAAACGTCACCAATGAATTTATACGCAAACATTAAAAATAGTTACAAATACTTAGTATCAAATATTTAAATTATTTCCATACACGTTTACTTCAACTGAAAGGTATACCAAATTCCTACAAACATAAAATTCACAAAATAACTATCATTTAATTAAAATATAACTAAACCATGTACACGTCGACTTATTTTTACTTAAAAAAGCATCCCAGAATTGCACAAAAATGGCTTTGCGCACACTCTTCACTATATCCATGTACAATGCTTTTTTCTCATAAATTAGAAAAATTTCACTAAAATGCATGAAAATACTCAACATATACTACTCAAACGTATTCCAAAATACTACAAACATATAACTCACAAAATCACGATCATTAAATTAAAATATAATTAAATTAAAAAAAACTACTTAAAATATAAATAAGCATATACATTAAATTAATAAAAATTACATTACAATCCTAATTACTTTAAACTAAATCATTGCTAATAACAATTTTCCAATAATACCATATTAATTTATTTACTCCTTACATTTAGAATAGTGCATAAAAATAATATCCTCAAATGATTAAAAATACTAACTTACCTAATCTTCTTCAGAATCTTCATTACGTGGCTCGCACACTTCCCTACAGAAAGAGTTCCAATCGGCTGCAGTACTACTGCTAATTTCTAAATCCGAAATCCAGTAGTCAACTGGCAGTCTATTCACCAAGTAATAAGAAATTAATAAAATTTCATACATACTCAAACTACTTTCAGCAAACCACGTACCCTTCCTTACACTCCGTTTCACAAAATGTCCATTTTCACTAGATTTCTTGCACCGCCATTCAAACTCATCTGTAATATCCTTCCTTTCACACAATCTCTTTCCACATGTTGGACATTCATACTTATCCGCAATTAATCCTAACTCGTTACCATTCAACCAATTCTTTTGAATTATCAGATAAACGCATTAAAAATTTAGAATTCACTTTACATAGCGCCATGCAATCCAAAAATTAATCAACACTATTTCACACAACACACAATGAAGCTTAATACTGCAGCTATAGTACTGCAATGTTTTTCCAAATTTACCCCCTTTTCCGATTAAAGAACTATAATTCGTCCATTTATGTCACATGATATATCTCATGATCTCTCATTTCCCTCACACAAAATAATGCGGAATCGGAACTGAGTACTTCTCACATTATTACCAAAGTCCTAGGTAGTAACCTTTATCGCCTCCAAAATGTTGCCAAACTACCTGTTACCATATTCCAAAGATCAGCCACGATAAATCAAACAGCAACTTCGTCATAATATTCTGTTGTTTTTGTATATTCTGTTTGTTTTTGTTTAATTATGCTTGTATTACTCTTATATTTTCAAAGTAATCAGTGTGAAATTAAATATTAATGGCATGTTATTTTTTAAGATTGAGTAATGATGTTTTAATATGTTTTGTATATTCCAGATGTGTCCAATTAAATTACATAGTGCTGCAGATAAACTTCCAAATATTGCAAAACATATTCTCACTACTATAGCCTATGTATTTTTTTCTCATTTCTGTATTTTTTGGCAGCATTGTTTTATGCTATTGGTTTGCAAAAATTTCCCCATCATTCCACAATAAACAAGTTAATTTGCCCCTCTATAATTCAAACTTGATTAGTTGCTGTTTCAGAAATATCTCTATCAGACTTCTGTAATGGGGCCTCTTTTTTTTTTTTTTTTTTTTTTTCTTCCCCTCATTCATAATAACAAGATACTTGAAGTCAGGATCAGAACATCATCAAACATTATATATTCAAAAGTGACAGCATCATGGTGTGGGCTGGAATTTCAGTGAAATATTGTACCTAGCTACACATGTTTCTGTGATGGATGCAGGATATCAGGATGAAATTCAACACCCTAATGTGAGAAATCAGGATCAACTGATTATTGGTCCTGATTTCTTTTTTATGTATGGTACCTGTCCCCATTGTACCAGCATTGTTAATGAGTGCCTGCAGAGTGAGGGCTTTCCTCATGGAGTGTCTACCCTGTTCCTCGTGATGACACCTAAGAACAATAATTACAAAATATAGAATAATAGACTTCTAAAATGTTATTTAAAAGCTTTAATTTTACTTAAATTATGTTTTAGATTAATTTAAGGTAGTGCATTAACTGCTTATGAATTGGCTTCCAGATTATTTATTTCTTTGCTTACTTTTATTCTGCACACAGTATTGACATATTAGCATTACCAAAGTTAAAATACTGTAACTTAGTTTTATTATAAGTATGGCTTTGAAAATAATTTTCATGAATTGTGCATATTTATATTTTCATTTATGATCTTGAAAATTTATTATTTTCAAACTTGATTTCATATTCTGAGGTTAAATTCTTTCCTTCTGATTTTGAGTTAGAAATTTAAAATGCTGGTTGTCAAAAAATATTACATATATTTTGGGAGAAGATATTTTGGGATTATTATTTAACTGTAAATTTGAAGTAAAATAATATAGTCTTTTTTCATTGAAATTTTCTATTTTTATGTGTATTATTAGAGAGACTGTTTATTAAGCAATAATACTGTCATGAAACTATTAAAAACTCTTATAAACATTTGCATAATATATGCTGTAACTTTTGTTTTCATTGCTAGATATTCATTTTTAATGCAGATTGAAAATTATGTTTTTCACTGCCATCAATGGCTCAAATACTTTACTGACATGAGTGTTTTTAGCAAGAGACTGCAGAGCCGAACAATTACAACTGTTAGAGCTGGCAATGGCTAACCATGTAATATTTATGCAATGCCAGAAACAATCATGCAATCTCTCTCTAGTATACAATTTCTTTTAATTGCAGCTGTTGTGAGGTTCAGCTGTCGTGATGGTTTGGTGGTTAGTGATGCTCACTGCTATATTGAAGTGCCTAGGTTCAAATGCTGGAGAGAGATGTTTATCAGGTGCAGAAATAGAATGCTTAGCACCTGGAGACACAGTGGGTGAAACTTTCATGTTCCTTTTTTTTTTTTTTTTTTTTTTTTTTTTTTGTCAAACTGTGATGGGAACATCAGTTTGTCACTTTCTGGTGTGTGCTCAGGGACAGATGTTATACCAGTGAGTGTCTGTGTAGCAAGTGGACACTTGAAATTCACAACAAGCAAAAATCCTCTTGAGAGGATGGGGTAGAGAAAGGAGTGGGAGACCCCCGGGATGTTCTTCCTCAGAAATCCATCCAGACAGGAAACTTAGCAGTTAGCAAGTCTCAGGTGATAATAATATGCATTCTTGGATGCAAAGGTGGTGGCCTTGCTTCAACCTGTACTTGTTAAGCTGGAACATTTTCATTACAAAAAGGAATTCCATTTACTTTTGAAATTTTTGTGTCTGTTTAAACTGATGCTCATTCTTGTAGCTTAAGCAAATAAACAATTTTACAGTACTGTTGTATATCAGTATTATGGTATATTTAGATAGCTATATAATTTAAAATAATGTTTTTCTTTTTCCCTTTTTTTTTTTTTTTTTTTTTTTTTTTTTTTTTTTTTTTTTTTTTGTTTTTGTTGTTGTTGTTTTGGAAATTTTGTAAGCAGCTATCTCATACCATTTAATCAAGTCATAGAATCATTCAAAGCTTTTATACAAATTTAATAATCAATAGTACATCATAATTGATGTTTATCTGGGCTAATGGAGTCATTTTGAACAGCAAGTATTTTTGTACAATCTTTGGGCCTATTTTAAAAATTTAAGTGTAGAAATAAATATGTAATTTTATTTGCCAAAAGCATATTTTACGGTGCATATGCTCATCAGTACTACAATATGCAAAACTTGTGAGCAACTGTATTCAGAAACTTTGCAATGTTTCTTGCACATGTCTTAAATATATCCATGTATAATCATAACTTTAGTTTGGTCTAGGAAGGCCTAAAAAGTTTTAGCTTGGGATTTAATTAATCTTTGCAACATGAGTAGCTGTACTAAAGACCGTATGTTGCAAGGAAGTTTCTGAAGGTGTAGAAATATTAATGAGGGTTATGTAAGAAGTAATCAACATGAATGAAAATAAATTTTCATTCTGAAAGAATAAAATTCATTTCTTTAAAAAAAAAATCTTTTTAGAATAGTGGTTATATGAACTAGCTAGGACGAATGGCATATTTATAATGTTTTTAAAAATTATCTCTCAAGGAAAAAAATAGTATATATGCAAGTTAACCCTTTATTTCTGCAACTAAAATGGTTATATGTTTTTAATGATTGTTTTAGTGGATTTTCCTAAATATCTTATGTATTTATTGTGTATATATAGTACTTATTATTTTATTTTATTTTGCAGGGCTGTTTCCACCATTATGGCTATCTAAACTGCTGTTAGGTACAGCATCCCCGCTATGGGGTGCTGAAATAAATTTTTAAATGATTTTTTTATTTTTTGTTTAAAGAATTATATTAGTTTAGTTACGTTATATTATATGTTTATTTTTGTACATAAACGTACAAAATAAGAGTTGTGTTTAAATACAAAATAATGGTTTGTTAAAAAGAGGTGTTGTGCAGTGGAAAATGAATAATGGAAAACTTTCCTGAAAAGGATTGTACATCAAAATGCCGATCATCTACGCATGCCAAACAGATTTTCAGCTGTATTCCAACATCCACAGCATCTCAGATTAGAGCATATTCAGTGTAAGTGAAATTCTGATTATAGTTTTCAGTATTAATTTTTATTTTTGCATTAAAACATTTGTTGTGTATAAACATGTAAAAAATTATTTGCATCATATTATGTGTCTACAAACCTTTATATCATAATACAGTGTCTCACAAAAATGACTGGACATTATAATTTTTTTGAAGTAATCGGAGAAGAGCTTTGAAATAAAATAGTCTTTAATATTTTTCCTTTGAATACGCGTTATCTTAGCTCCCTTTTTGCACTAAATAAATTTGAAAAAATGAAATAGTAAATTTAAAAAGTAACGTTTCAGGCTGAAATGAGGAAAATATATATATATATCACAAAATTAATCAGACATTTTCAGAATGTCTAATTAAAAATTGTCTTCAGTAAAAAGAAAACGAATTTTTATGGAATTAATTTGAGTAAAGAAGCTAGGCAGCAATTTAAAGATTGTTTGCTGTTGTAATTTCAATCTTCTTATCAGAGAATATTCCGTTATTTTAATCCTTTCTTACTCTGGCTCCCTCATGAAGGGAAACATCGTTAGAAACCCAGGGATTAGTTATTGATTTGCATCAAAACAAATCTATTGGAAAAATTGCTAATTTACTTAATTTAAGTAATTATACAGTTTTTGATTTTATTAAGCATTATAAGAAACATAATTATATTCAAAATAAAAGAACTGGAATACCATCTAAGTTATCTAATGGAATGAAACATTTTATTCTAAGGTATATTAAAAGGAATCCAAGACTGAATGCTTCTAAACTTGTTGTGGACTTATGTGACTTACACGGAACATTTGTAAATCCAGAAATTGTAAGAAGAGTAATGTGATCTGCAGGATATCATAGGCGAGTTGCAAGAAAAAAAAATTTATGTTGGTAGAAACAATCGAAAACTCTCTTTCACAAAATCAATGAATCAAAAGATACTCGATTACTGGGAAAATGTGTTGTTTGTTTATGATAGCAAATTTAACATCTTCGGCTCATATGGTCGAGTGCTGTTGTGGAGAAAACCCAATGAAGAATTTCGCAAGCAAAACTTAATAACAAGCGTTAGATAACACCGAATAGGAGCTATGGTATAGTGATCTATGGCATATTCTGGAGTTGATAATATAGAGTTTATACGTGGTATCATGGGTCAGTATAAGTACCTTGACATCTTGAAGCAAAATTTGGCATTGTCAAACAAAAATTTAATATACAAAATAGTTTTAAATTCTACCAGGACAATGATCCAAAGCATACTGCACCCAATATTAGACTCTGGCTGTTATATAAGTGTCTTGAAGTAATTAAAGCACTACCCCAATTTCCTAATCTTAATCATATTGAACATATTTGGCAGGGACTAGAATAAAAAATTTGAAAACAGAGCATATCTTCGTGGCAACAACTGAAAGCAGTGAATCAAAGGAAGTTGCATAAAATAAGTCCAGAAATAAAAAAAAAAAAAACTTTTAAAGCCAAAGCCTAAAGGGTTAAATGAAGTGATCAAGTATAAAGCTAATCCCACAAAGTATTAAGGAGCAAAAATAATGAAGTATTTGTCATTTTGGGCTGTTCCTAAAAGCATGTGATTATTTTTGTGAGAATGTTTCTCCTCATTAAATACACAATATTGATTTTTGAATTTAATTTTTTTGAAAATGTATTTACTGTAAATCATTTAAAATTAAATTTGCTCAATTTTAATTATTATGTATGTATACTTCATTGTTTAATTTCATGTTAATTAATATCAAGATGTATTTTAAAAATACTTCATTCTGTGAATTACATTGCCAGGCTGAGCATAAGCACAATAAAGTACAAAGTCTGAGATCCGGTCATCCAATATCCGGAATGACCTCAAATCTGGACCTCAAAGCCACCACCAACTTTTTAAAATTTTTTTGGTATGCTTTACATGTTTGATTAATGCATGGTATACTTTGGGCATTTGATCTCCCCCCCCCCTCCACCCATAACAAAATGTGGAGAGTCCCGATTCTTAATTTCACTTCAGCACTAAATAAAATATCTCGTTTTTGAGAAAGTCACTTTAGCATAAATTTGTATGATCAATAATTCGGCTCCATTGCTGCATATCTGCTTGGCATACATCTCAAATCGAAACATTCTGCATACGTATAACATAGATTTTACACCTATTACTATTTTATATCCCTGATGCCAACCTGGCGAATCATTATTTATTATATTTTACTTTTATCACCGCATGTTTATCAACACATGGCAACTTGAGTAATGACTTATGTAGCAATGTCTAAACAATTTTTTTATGTTAGTAATTGAATTATAAAGAGTATGGTAACCTTTTATGTTGACATTATGCTTGCTATTATGATTTAAGTTAAATGCTCTAAGAAATGCTGACAAGGAAAAATTTAACAAAAATTTCTTTCCATATGCTAAAAATAGATTTTGTTAATGATACTCGTAGGCCAAAAGATTACATTTAGTGCTATTTGAATTAAGAATAACTTATTTGTTATTCACTTAAACCCAGAACCAGAGCCAGGGCTCATATGGCCACACCAGGCGGCAGAATTTAGGGAAGGTACTTTGTAGCATAATTTAGGACTCGCAGAGAATGCATATAAGATATCTAGCACTGACCCTCAATAAGTATATGTGGGTATTTATTCAGGATTCAGGTAACATGTGCAAGAAATAGACATAAGTATGATAAATAACTAAACGAATAAAATTCAGGCTTAATTTTCTCAGTATATGATAAAAGCAAGATAAAATTTAGCAGAGCAACTTGTCGGTAGTCACCAATCTCATGATACCTAGCTCAATTTTATGATCATAGCAGCGAATTTTAAAGGTTTTTGGATATCGCAAACCAAAGGTGAAGTTTTCCAATTAATGGATTTTGTAAAGAAATGTGAAGAAGCGGTAGTAAATGAAGATGATATAAAAGAAGTTTTTCATTGTGATGGCAATGCTCCTCAATGATCAATCAATTAATGGAGGGCAAAATCTGTAGTATGGTTCTAGATCAAGAAAATACGACTACTGTCAGTGAAGAAAGTGACACAGAGGCTACTGAAAACAAAAAATTTCGATTGACAAGTTAGTCAGAATTCTCGACGCAGCAATTACAGGGCTTCAACAATGTAACTCAACAAGAAATTATGTCTGTCTACAGAATTAAAGAGAAAGTATTAGCACAAAAAGATGAAGCAACTTAAACAACTTACATGAAAAGTAACGTTTATTAAAGTAAATAAATAAATATTAAACTTTTTTTTTTAATTTGTTATCCTTTAAATCATAAATGTTTCATTATTTCATAAACCATAATTTCATATTTTTAATTTTATAACTTCTACATACCATCTTACTAGATTTAAACTGATGATCCAATATCCGGAATTGCTGAAGTCCCAAAGAGTCCTGATCTCTGACTTTATACTGTATTTGTTTGCATGTTTGTTAGTGTAACATCTAAAACGAGTTATGAATATCATGCAGAAAATTAATTTAAATGTGTTTAATTTCTAGATGGCTTTGTCATAATTTTCCAGTGATCACAGATGATCTGGGTAGAAATCTTTTGCATATTGCTGCAGCATGTGGGAAGTGGGAGATTGTGGAATGGTTGCTGAAATATTGCCATGTGGAAATTGATGCTAAAGATTATGAATCTGGATGGACTGCTCTTCATCGAAGCATTTTTTATGGACAACTTGCTTCTCTTAGAATCCTATGCATGGTATGCTGATAAATATTACAGTTTTAACTATTATATTATGCTTTACTTATTTGTAATCTTTTTACAATTTAGACGTATAATTTTAGTTAGAATGAAGTTTCCTATTAAATGTACTTAATGTCATGAATCTAAAACTGGAATTTATGTGCACGTAAATATTATTAAATTTTTAAATCAAGCTATTAGAATTTTAACACTTAAATCAAAGAGATTTTACACTAATTATGTTTATTTGAAAACCAAATTAAAATTTGATTTGCTGTGTTTATTTGTAAATAATGAGCCATTAATTTCTTGGGTGCGTTCTTTATGATTACAAATTATCTCTTATTGCATGCCTTTGTGGTTGCTTTTTAACTTTTTTTTTTGGCCTATTTGAATTTTTTCATGTTCTGAGATAGCACAGCATAGATTGCATTCCTGATTTACTGTTATTATTAGTTTCTCTTTTCAAGTTTCTTCATGTTCTTTACTGCATATGCAGCCTTTCTTTCAAATTGAAATTTTGTTTGTGTTTTTCCTGCAAATTTTCTCACTTTAAGTTTTTAAGTGTATTTTGCATTACTTTAATATTATTCTGCTTCAGATTAATCTATTTGTAATTTATTTTTTGAAATTTTGACTTTTTTGGCAGGGTTACTTGCATTTGGGGGGGGGGTTATAACCACTTTAGTTAAAATTGCCAGGTTATCAGAATGCACCAAACTGTAGCAACCTTATGCTTAGGCATTCTTTGATTTTTAACAAGCAGTGTTGTGATTTTTCAAATGTTTCTTTTTGTTGTATTCTCATTTTCAATAGTTGTTGTGTGACGATTGTGAAATTTTTTGTTTTGGACTCAATTTAAATTTTTTTTTTTTTTAACCTTCCGTTTGGCAATTTTACAAGAGCATGCACACGTCATATTTTTTATGACATCTGTTATTTTACCATTTTGGGCACGAAAAACGACAGAAATGAGTGAATATTGATAATAAATTTGTTAAGAAATAAAATATTAATCTTATTATTGCAAAATACAAATGATATGGCATTCAAATATAAGTAAAAGTTCTTATGTTAGTGGGATGGAAATGCAATGCAAAACTGAATTTGTCGTAAATTTTGAGCATATGCGAGTGCTGGAAGGTTAATAAGAGAAAGTGGTAAAAGTTTATACCAAAGGTAACAACAGTTACTTTGAAATTTCCACTAGAAGAAAGTAAAAGCTTACTTATAAGTAAGTTTATGGATTGATAAATACATAATTAAAATATAGACTAGGTATGTAATAATATGTGTGCATGTAATAAATGTTTTACAATTAGAAGTCATCACTTTTTTTCTTGTACGAGGCGTATTCGGAAACTAAGTACCGTTTTGAAAAAAAAAAGTAGTAAAACAATTTTTTCGAATCCAATTTTATTTTTACATGAAAATACATGTCTTAAATTATTTTTCAACATAGTTTCCGCGAATGATCAAACGCTTGTCATAGCGGGTGACCAGTTTTTGTATACCATCGTCAAAGAAACTTCCCGCCAGTTTCGATAACCACAACTCCACAGCATTTTTCGTGTCATCGTCAGATCCAAAGGTGCTTGCCACCAAGCTCGCGCTTCATGTGCAGGAACAAGTGATAGTCGGACGGCGCCAAGTTCGGGCTGTACGGCGGGTGATCGAACTGCTCCCAATGAAACTGTCGAATTAACGATTGAGTTACACCAGCAGTATGGGGCCGAGCATTGTCATGGAGCAACACAATTCCTTTACTGAGCATTCCTCTTCGTTTGTTTTGAATGGCATGCCTTAGTTTTGTTAAAGCGTCACAATATCGTGCCGCATTAATGGCTTCACCTGTGGGAAGAAATTCAGTAAGCAAAACGCCTTTCCTATCCCAGAAGACAGTGCACATGATTTTTTGTGATGACATTGTCACTTTGAACTTTTGTTTTTTCGGAGAATGAGTGTGTCTCCACTCCATCGATTATTGTTTCGATTCTGGTGTGAAATGACACACCTAAGTTTCATCACCTGTCACAATTTAGTTTAAAAAGTTTTCTCCCTCATCACCGTACCGCGTGAGAAATGTCAAGGCACTACCAAGTCGCTTTGTTTTGTGAACATCAGTGAGCATTTTTGGAACCCATCGGGAACACAGTTTGCGATTCAGACACAATTTCAAAAAAACAGTACGTGAAATTTGTGGAAATGCCTCTGAAAGAGTTGTCATTGTGAAGCGTCTGTTCTCATGAATTGCTTCATCAACTTCCTTACCAAATCATTGGTGACAACAGAAGGCCGACCACTCCGAGCCTCGGCGTGGACATTTGTTCGACCTGCATTAAACATTCTTACCCACTTTCTCACCATTCCATCACTTATCGCGTATTCACCGTAAACTTCTGTCACTTGACGATAAATTTCGGCCGGTTTAACATTCCTCGCGTTCAAAAATGTAATCGGCACGAATCTCACAGTCAGCGGGAGAACTAATTGTCTTAAACATTTTGAATGTGCACAGCAAACTGAAAACACAACATAGAGCAGCCAAAATGGCGACAATTGAAAGTCAGTGAACAAGAAAGACTAGTGCGCATACGCGGGACGCCTACCACAGTGCTGACGGCGCTAGAATGAAACGGTACTTAGTTTCCAAATACGCTACGTATAAAAAATTTTAGGCTATGGCTATACTGATGCTTAAGTGTCCTTTTGTTGTTCTTTCTTTCTTACTAGTTGCTTTCTTAAAATTCATTGTCTTCTTTATATCATAAAAACAATGATCTTGCATCATAATAATATATCTGGATTTGACATCTGTATGTCGAAATTTGGTCAAAGTGGCTTTATACTGTCCACTTTGCTACCACTTGAAGCTCAGATGCTAGAGTTAATTGTTCTGTCATCTAAACAGAGATGGGATTGGTGCAAGTTGTTAATTGAATGTGAATTATAATGTTGGGTGTGGAGAACAAAGCTGATGAACAAAAATGAAGCTTCTATTAATGAAATAAATTTTAATGTTTATAGTAGCAAAACAGTGAAAGACAAACTGCTAAAACCATTTGCTGCAGTGGAGGTGAAAGACTATAAGCATCAAAGCAAATACAGTAATTATATATCCTAAAACATAAGAAAAAGGATAGGCTTCAGTTGGCTGGTGTCTTTGCTTAGATTGAAAGCACCTTTCGGTGGTCAGTGCAAATTATGCTCCAGATCCAAAGATAATTGAACATTCTATGAGTTGTGAATGTGATAAATTTATGTTCAAAGAATATAATACAAATAAATATATTTTTTTTATTATAATAAAACCTGGAATAAATGATTTTAATGATATATTTTTGCTTTATTGGATAGAGAAGTAGAACTTAATTTATAATATCCATTTTACCCAGTCCCATATCATTATGAGATATTACCTTCAAAAGCTTTGAAGCATTCATGTTAAGTGATTGTGTAATTTTTTTAATTACAATGGAAATGATTTTTTGGTTTTATGTGGAGACATAGAATAGTTGCCCTAACTATAAGCCAAAGTCGCAGAAAATAATTGAATAACAATATAAAATGTATGAAATATGTAAATATCTTTTTCCCAAAAAATATAAACAAAAATGTTTCATTACTGCAATATTGAAAAAAATTAAGAATGGGTTTCTTTTGTTGTAGCATGGAGCCAGTCTGAAGTTATATGATCATGAAGGTTTGTCTCCACTAGATATTGCCCTCAAAGACCGTTTGCCATATCTGGAATACCATCCTTCAAGTATGTTTGTATTTTTATTATTATTTTTTTAGAAATCAGCAACATGCTTCTTAAAATTATTTATATTTCTTGATGTTAAAGTGCATTTTATTGTGTGAAAATATTTACTTTTTTACTCTAGTCATTCTTAAAATATCTGAAAGTGTGTATGATGGAAGGTAATCATCATAACTGCATATTTTTCTGAAATTTTTTATTAATTTTTTTTTATTGCAGATAGTTGGAAGTCGTACTGTATTGTGAGAAAATGTTTATTTATTTCAGTTTAGTTTGTTTTTTCTCTGACATTTTAAAAGATAATTTCTAAAAGTAATTTTATTTGAAATACTAATAAATGTACAATAAGAAGCAAAGTATTCACTCTGTAATAAACATACAGACCCTGTCATGCCCACCAGCAGCCAAGAGGTAAAATCACTGATCACTGGTAGTTTGGTCTGAGGCTCGAATCTTGTGAATGGGTTGGCTGCATGGTCGTTTTTGTGGTTTCCCATGCGTAATGTCTATACAAGTCAGTGTCCTTTAGAAAGTCCTTCACAAAGGCATCCATCCCCTTAGGCAGATAGTCCTCGAGGCTTTGCCATAATTACATAAACCACACAAACCAAACATGCTCTGTATATTAGACCTTCCCTATAATTTACATGATCATGTATTTTTAAATATGAATGAATATTTTTGATAATATATTTGAAACAGATTTGCAGTTAGATTTTTATCATATTAATTAATATAGTTATATGTTTTGTTTTGTTTTTTTCCTCTGTTATAGCTTCATACTGCCACATGTTTATGACAATACAAAACTATGGAAACTTTAGAATAAAATAAATATTTATTCACATAAAAAAATATGTTCATGAAATTACTGTTTTGGCAAAAGTATTTAAGTGCACTATTGGAATATTATTCCATAACTTATTCTAAAATTTGAATGCTTAAGAGTAGTAATTTAATTACCTTCTGTTCTTAAGTATGTGTATGTCACCTTATGCATCTCCTTATGTTTGTCACCTTACCTATCTACTGCACCTTATGTTCTACGTATCATGCATCCTGGCATCTGCCAATATTTGTATCTGCTGCATATTATAACATATATTCCTCATAATCCTGTATCATGCATCTTATTTCGCACTTTCTACCATGTATCCTGGCACTTATATCACTCTGCACCGCGTATCATGTATCTTGGCATCTGCATATATCTGTATCCACAGCTTCTTGTATCATATATCTCACAACGTCCTGTAACTTGTAACTTATTCTGCACCTATATATCGTATATTCATAAGTATGTGTATGTCACCCAATGTGTGTCAACTTAGATATTCTTATGGATGTCTCCTTTTACATCTCATGTTCCTATGTAGCATGTATTTAGGCATCTGAATATATATGTATCTTCTGCACAATCTATCTGTAGCCACCGTATGTTCGTATGCATCATGTATCTAGGCAATAGATAAAGGTGGGCATGGCGCTATACTGATTAACTGTATTGGTAGAGGGTTGGTGCTCACGTCCTCCATCGCATGTTGAGATGAAGCTCACTGCCTTCCACTTCTCGAGAGAGATTTTTTTACTTCTCGTAAATAGTCCTTCTTGTGCTTTTTTATTATTTTTTTTAAGTTTTTTAATATTGTCAATTAAAGTTTTGGAATAATTTGAATAGCACTTCGAAAATTATTTCTCATAGTAAGCTCTTTTTTTTTTTTACATATATTTTCATGTAAAGTAAAGGGAAAAGATTATTAAATACTAATTTTAATGTATATAACAGCTTAAATAATAAGATGTTTTTTTTGGGGGGGTTAAGTTAGATTTGGCTCAAAACCACTGTCCTGTGGGACAATTCCTTTCAGTTACCCTCAGTCTTGAGGGATCATCTTAAACGAAAGCATGCCATCTCAAAAGGATTAAAAATTAATATTCTTAAGAACTGCATGTGTTGCTTTTAAATAGCTTATTTTTAATCAATAAAAAATTCAGTTTGAAAGATAAATACCTTTCTTTTTTTTTTTTTTTTTTTTTTTTTCCTTGGCAAGAAACTTGAGTAAAAAGTGAAACAAATTTAAGTGGATGACACAAAATCAAGACTGATAGCCCTTTTACACTTAAAAAAAATAAAATAAATTAAAAAAATATGATTAAATTTTTAAAAAAGTTGTATCAGGAAAGAAGCCAAACCAAACTGGGGATTCCTGTTGGCAAGGAAATATGCTGGAACACAAAAAGTTTACCAAGTATGCCTTTAACAGAAAAGGAGTAGTAAATTTTCCAATTAATAGAGTATTTGAAGGAATATAAATAAATGAAGTCTTCATTGCAATGGCAAAATCAGAATTGTCAATCTGTTAATAGACAGCAAAATCTGTGGTATGATTTTAAACTCAGAAAATATTTACATCAATATTGAAGGAAGGGAAAAAGTAGCTGTTGAGAATGAAACAATATCAGCTGACTGTTTAGGGGGAATTATTGACACATCAATTACGGAACTTGCGAATTTTGTAATTGAACAAGGATTTATGTCTCTTTAAAATTAAAGAGAAAGTGTAAGCAAAAAATGAAATTGGTTAAACAAGTATGTTGAAAGAAATATTTAATAAAACACAATAAACATTAAATTGAGCCTTTTTAAAAAAATTTTGGTTTCCTTGTAGTCATAAAAGTATTTCATTATTTTAAAAACAACCATTTCGTATTCTTAATTTTATAATTCTATGAGTATAAGACTTTCTAGGTCTTGCTAGATTTAAATTAATGATCTAAGATCTAGAAATTTCCAGAATCGCTAGAATGCCTAATGAAGTCCCAATGATTTTGGATCTGAGTCTTTGTGCTGTATTACTTTTTAGAATTTTTAATTTATTTTATAATAATTTAATAAATTGATTCTAAATAATTTTTCACACAAAAGAAAAATTTCTGTTTTTTTTTTTTTTTTTTTTTTTTTTTTTTCTGGGGATAATGGGTATTTGAAATGATCATTTATGAAAATATTCAATGTACAAATATTTAAAAAATTCTAGATCCATCTGAAGTCTATGTCTGGGGTTCAAATTTTAACTATAACCTTGGGCTTGGAAATTTACAGAGCCGAGAAATTCCAGAAGTATTGGAGGTTTTTCGTAAAGATTTCATATCTATTAAACAGGTAATTATAAAATGTTATTATCTCACATTTCAATAAGGTGCCAATATGCAAAAGTTTAGCATGTAGTATATTTAATGTTTTTATTTTTCACTTTGCATAAAAATTTTCAGGTTCAGATATGTAAATTTCATAGCGTGTTCTTATCTGTGAATGGTAATGTGTATACTTGTGGGTATGGTCATGGAGGACGATTAGGTCAGGACAATGAAGATATATCCCTTGTTCCTTCTCTTGTGAAAGGAATTGGCTCACATCCTTGTGTGCAGGTAGCTGCTGGCCAAGACCATTTGCTGCTATTGTTGGAAGGTGGACAGGTGGGATTTGTTTTTTAATTAATTTAAAAAAAAATTTCTTTCTTTATTGCACTTAAAAATGAGTATATTTCCTATTGTTATGGTTTCCATTGTTTAAATGATATCAAGATTATCATGCAGTTTTAATAAAGAAAAATTTAAGAACTTATATACCAAGTATGTTTACTTCTTGTGTGCAGTTTGCAGCTGCCATATTGCCACAACTGCTTTTATGTAGCATCAAAGGCATTTGCTCGCTCCCAGACTCCCAGGACCATGCAACCCCGAAATTTACAACTATAAACCTGTTAGTAAACTGCAGCAAAGCAAAACCCTACTCAAAGTTTTTCTTGTGATAGGTATTCTGTTAGTGACCATGATTTAGGCTGTTTGTCATTTGGTAATGGCTTGCAACAAACGTTGTCACCATTTAAATAATGGGGGGCATAATAATAAATCAAAAAAATATAAAAACATATAACATCAGTTTGTGCGAGTCAGTGATCTGTGCATATATTTTCCAAACTAGCATTTTGCCAGTTTTCTCCACCTTATTTCAAAGTAAAGCATTAATTTTTGCAGTAATTATAATTGGTAATATAAAATGATACCAACTGAAAAGTGCTATAACTTATTATTTTAGTCCATTCAAGCAAATATAAGTTGGATTTTCACATGCCATCATATTTGTCTTCATAAGTTTTCAAAATCAAATAAAATGGAAACTAAGGTAAAATATTTTTGTACTCTTCTGTTATCAGAAAGTGATTCAGAAATGTAAGCATATGTCTATGTTCATATATGTGTGTGTGTGTATATATATATATATATATATATATATATATATATACATGTACACAAACATGCATACATTTCTGAATCCGATCTCAATAACAGAAGAGTACCAATATTTTATAAGAACAAGGTAATCTTTTATCGATTTTACGTTAAATTTTACCTTTTAAATACCTTTATAATGTACTATATAAACTATTAAAATTATTACCAGCTTATGAAAGATTAACTAAAATTATTTGATTTCATAGAGTCTGATGATGTGCACTCACCTGATCTAATTGTTGCTAATCAATTCATTTGTAAAAGTATGCTTCTCCTTGTTGAATTTTCTTCAAAATTATGTATTCCTGGAGTGGGATATAACCCTAGCACTGATGTTATTGTTTTTTTTATTTCCTATTACATAAGTGCATTTAGATGTATTGAAATATTATTATACTTGTAGTTCGGTGTTTTATGAATCTGGGATTTGTACAATTATCTTAGTTTAAAATAAGAGAACACTGTTTCTTTTTATCCTTTACTCTGATATTCAAGTACTAACTCATAGTAGATGATACTTATTGTAGTCATGTAAACCATTCTGTTTTGCCATTTTAGAATTTTTAGTGTGATATTCAAGTAGTAATTCCTACCATTTAATATTAGGCTTGTTATGTACTTATTTCATTAGCAGAGCTTTGGTCTGATATTTAAATATAGGGAAAAGAGCATTCAGATTATAAAAACATAACTAAAAGTTATTGAACATACTGAAATTATTTAAATCTTAAAATGCAAAGTGTGATGCTTCTTTGGCGAAATGAAGCAACTCCAATGATGAAACACAGCAATAACTTTTATTTAACACTCAAAAATGGCGACATACAAACAAGAAGAGAAAACATATTCTATAAACTTATTTAAAAAATAATAATTACATGCTTCGTGCGAGAAAATGCATGCAGCTCTCGAGCCTGCATTTCAATATTGCCAATAATCTGTACATTATTTATTATTCAACTATTTCAAATTCACGAGAGATTAATAACGATATTAAAGCTGTTACAAAAGAAGTGTCTGCTGATTTTTCATAGTTCAAAGCAGCTTACGTACTTACTTTAATTGTAAACATAGTGCTAATCTTTTTTGTAATCGAGTTAAAATAGTTGAATTGACTGCTATGATTCTTTGATAGGTGCTGTATTTTTTTTTTTTTTTCTGTTACATGTGTTGTCTTTGGAGCTATTAAAACTGTTTTTATTATATGCAGTGTTCTTGGTATGTTCTTGCTAATTAAATCTGTGGTGATAAAGCAGGCTCTGATAGTGTTCAGGGATGATAGTAGTATCTGGGCTTCTCATCAAGGTAGATTAAATCCTGTACATCACTCCAATCTTACATTTATATGCTACATTTTAACTATCCACAACCATACTTAATGCAAATCTTGCATTGCTTTACTATGAGCTTCGTACATTTTAACAGTAGAATCATCTCTTTGTTTATAGTTTCAGAATGTTTTTATAAAACTAGAATCCGCCCCCAGACATTGACTCTATAATTCTCTTAACTTCAGCCAGAATATTTTATTTTCCAAGCCTAAAATTTGTTTGATATTAATATGGATACTTTATATTCTTTTATTTGTGCTACTTTAAGTACAGAAATCAGTATTAATATTCTAATTACAGAAATTGAATAAATACCACATTTTAAGTTCTGCTTCAAAACTCAGGAAGTTTTTTTTTTTTTTTTTTTTTAACCCTCTGAGCGGCCAGGATTTTTGCTAAGAAAGCACAAATTTCCCAAACTACTGTTAGAACAAATTATTTTTTTTTATTTTAATGTAAAAACTCTCCTGGTATTTCATACCTGGATTTGTTGTCTTCTGGTATATTGCCTTAATTTCTTTGACATATTTTTATATGCACGTATATATACGTTCTTACAGATATCACAAAAAATACGGCCTTGCCGCTTTCAGGGTTAATATGTTATTAAAATAAATTTCATGAAAGTCATTTGTAATTAATTTTATTACATTTTTGTATTTAAAGTACAAAGTCTTTAATCCGGAATGATCTATAATCCGAACCTCAAAGCTACAAACTTTCTGCGCTTGCGTAAGCACATAATACGTTTACGCATACACATTTAATGTATAACGGACGGTATAAGCTAGGCTCTAATTATCTATTTCAGTTAATGTTGCAGATTGCGTTGTTCCTTAATCTTCTAATTGGATCCGGCTTATTATTTTTTGCAGACTGTTACAGCAATTTTATGAAAAGTAAGCTTGAACTTTCGATTATGTCAAAAAGAGTTTCCGATTCTGGAGCTGCCAAAGGATCTACAAAGCGAAAGCATGTTTCGATGTCTATCAAGCAAAAAGTGGAATTGCTGCAAAAAATTTATAAAGGCATGAAGAAAGTGACAGAGAGGTTAGTGAAAACGAAAAAATTTCGATTGACAAGTTAGTCGGTATTCTCGGCACAGCAATTACAGAACTTGAACAGCAGAACTTTGTAACTGAACAAGAAATTATGTCTGTTTATAGAAAAGAGAAAGTGTTAGCACATAAAACGAAGCAACTTAAACAACTTACATTGAAAGAAATATTCGGGTTTTTTTTTTTTTTTTTTTTTTTTTTTTTTTTTTGTAAATTTTGATACCCTTTAGATCATAATTGCTCCTTATTTCATAAATTATGGTTTTATGGTTTCATATTTTTAATTTTATAATTTCTGCATGCCATCTTACCAGATTTAAATTTATGATCTATAATCCGGAAAAACCTCTAATCCAGAATCGCCGAAGTCCCGACGAGTGCGGATTAAAGACTTTTTACTGTATCAGAAATCACTGTATACATGCTACTCATTTTAGTCATACAGGTAATTAAAATTGTGGTTGGTTTATGGTAATCTTCATTAATTATTAAATGGATATAAAAAATTAAATCATTTATGTCTATTAAAAATATGTTTTTTCTGTTATTAACAGGTATGGAGCTGTGGCTTAAATTTATATCATCAGCTTGGACATGTACCTCCTGTGGAAAAACTTCTTATACCAAAGCCTCTTTCACTTAAGTTTTTAAAAGGGAAAGAAATTATTGGAGTCCGGGCAGCACGTTTTCATTCTGTAATGTATACTAAAGATTGCGTTTACACTTTTGGATTGAATGCTGGACAACTAGGTGATTATTCCATTATTTCATTTTTGGTCATTGTAGGAAGTCATAGATGGGTAGCAGGTTTACATAACTATGTGTATGATATTGTTAAAATGTGCACATGAAGTAATGAAAGATATTTTCTCTCTACTTACTGTGTGCCTCTGTGGTGTAATTGAAAGCACATCCAGTAAACAGTTGGAAAACCGAAAGTTTGAATTCCAGCCAAAGCATAGCTGATTTTTCTAGTCTTGGGCTTTTCATTTTCCCCCCAAAAGTATAGCTAAAGTAAGTGTGACAACATAGTTAATTTCTAATACCTAATATTGAAATTTTTTGGGGGGGAAGGGAAGCAGGAGATATGAAAAAATGAGCTGATTACTGTTTGGCAGTTTGAGAATAAGAATCACTTTTTCAGTGCGACAGGAAATAAATTAAATAATTGAGGTTCAAGTGATTAAGAATAATATGCTTTATTTTACATAATTTAATCTTAACATTGTTTGTTTTTTAAAATCCTCTTAAGAGATATATGGAGAAAGTACTGCTTTGGTAAGTGTACCACTTATTGCATTGAACTAAAAGAGTTAAATGGATAATTTTATATTTCAGCAAAATTTGGAGGAAAGTATCATAGTACAAAGTCCGAAATCTGGACGTCCAGTATCCAAACCTCTGAACCACTAGCTAGCCAGCGAAAAAATAATATAAAACAATCCTCTCTCCCTGTATAAAGTCTGGGTATAGAGAATATAATATTCAACAAAAAAAAAGCTGGTGTGCCGTAAATGTGTTTTTTTTTTTTTTTTTTTCCTTTCCTTCCAGCTATCTGAGATCCATGCGTTTGAAACACTTGCTGCCTAGGAAGTGGCCTCATTGCCAGTGACAATACCTTGATTGACATTTTATTGATAATAGCCAGGCCTTTGAGTGGTTGGGAGGGGGATAGCATTTTCTACCTGACCTAAACTGTTGGCCTCAATGTTACCATGCCTACATGAAATCAGGAATTACTGAATTTCCAATAATTTCAGGTCTCAGACTCTGTACTATACAAATACGTGTAAAAGTATTGGAAAAAATTAATAAATGACAATTAATGGATAAAAAGGTTATGTTAAATATTCTTTGTAGAGCAAGTGAAATCACAACTCTTGCACAGCTAAAAGGCCTGAAAACTAACCATACATTAAATATAATAAATTTGAAATATATTCAAACTATTAATATATTTTCAATTTTACATCTTACTTGGGATGTAGCACTTAAATTAGTAAGAGGTGAGGACTAAATCTTCAATGGTGCTGAATATTAAAGCTAGTATAATTTGCCTTGCTCATGATTCCATTTTAGCCATGTTTAAAAGGATATAGTAATTTAAAATGATATAGTAATTGATTTTAAAAATTGCTGATGCAATTAAAAACATTATTACATTATAAATTATTTTATTCAGGGCATCCTAAAGGAGAGCGTACTCAAATATACCCAAGACAAGTATCTGCTTTGTATAATGAAGGATGGAATATAACACATGTTGAAGCTAGTGATGGTGCGACAGTTTGTGCCACAAGTCGTGGTGATGTGTTTGTTCTTCATGAATACCAAATACGAAAAATTGCCTCCAGGTATTTTTATTTTATTTATATTGTGTTGGCATGTGGAAATTTTCAGTTTTGATTATTATGCTTAGTTAAAATATTATTCATAAAGGATTACAGTATTTTAATTTTATATATATTAGTTGTGTTTATCTGGCTTGGTTTTTTTTAAGAGGGAGAACTTTATTTTGTATGTTTTAATTTATTGGTAGGATATATTAGTTGCATATTATTACTTTCAGTTGCATGCTGGGAGATCTAAACATTTTACCATTACTTATTCTTATAACCTCTTGAGCACACTACTCCATTCTGTACTCTATGTTAGCATCTTTTTTGAGAGTGCCACCTATTGACAGATTATAACATGCTTGTTTGTTGCATGTACAAGTTGATTTTCTCATAGTTACGCATATCTACTCATAGTTACGCATAATTTAATAGTCCTGCATAGTCTGCCCTAAACTGTTCACAACAAAACATCATTACATATTTGATTTTCAGTTAATTAACATGCATGATAAGTCTTTCACAGTTCTAAGTGTCTTTAAGTGTTCATGAATCTTTGGCATTTACCGCATACATGCAGACATAAAAAGCAAAGTTCATTCCTTAGCCTTTGTATAAATTATCATTATCAGTCCTAGCACACAGACCTTAGGGATTTTCTTGTGAAATCGATTTCAGTGACTACTTGTCTGTATCCTGGTTTTTGTCATTATCATCAGTGGAATTTGGATCACACTGTCATGGTTTTAGCTAATTCACATGAGCTGTGGTGGTGAAATAGCATTCTCACTTGTTTTCTTCCAGGTATATCACTGTAAGTATCACTGGTGAATATTTCTGTGCTTATAAATGGTCTGTGATGTTTCAGTACATCAGCACCCTTTCGAAGCACATCTGCTCATAACAGTTTCTCCTTGCTCAAATATGACTATGCCACATCTCTTTCTTTTGAATCTCTTCTTGATTTTCATCAGCCCATGAGCAGCCTTGCATTAAAATTGCCGAGCACTGGTAGTTCGGTGCGAGGTTTGAGTCCCATGTATGAGCTGTCTGCATGGGTGCTTTTGTAGTTTTCCCCATGTGTAACATGTATATGAGCCAATTTTCCCTAGAAAGTTGCTTCGAGGTCTATTTCCCATGAGCTTTGCCAGAAAGATTTTCTTCCAGCAACATTCTTCATTCATTTTAGCCTGATGGCCAGCCCTTGACGAATTTTACAACATCAGGTTGTTTGTAAATTTTAGAGTTCTAAATTAGACCTTCTTCTCCATGATCCATTCACTTGGACCCCAACATGAATGCAACATAAGATCTTTAGCACAAAAGTTCCCAGAGCTTTCTCATCACATAAAGTAAATGGCCAAGTCTCTAATACATAAGTCAAGACAGATCTTATAAGATATTTGCAAAGAAGCAATTTAGTTCTTAATTTAAGAAAGCTTTTATTCATTCCCAAATAAATAAAACTGTTAACTTTTCCAAATTTATAATTGCCAATTTCTAAGTGACTAAGTTGTAAGTCAGACTTTAAGCAAGGTAAATATTTAGTTTTATTTTCATTTACAAATAAATTAATTCTTTTAGCACTTTGTTTCAATGCCATAAATGCCTGTTTAATAGCTAGTAGGGTTTGGGTAATAATGCCAATGCCATCAGCATAAGCCAGTATTTGAACTGAGTATGATACACTTCTTTAATTTTGCTAATTATTCTGTGTAAAAAATGCAATGAATTGAGCCTTGCCCAAACACACACACACACACACAAAAAAAAAAAAAAAAAAAAAAAAAAAAAAAATTATTACAGTGATTCATAGTAAATTTTTTAATGTTTCAGCTTATTTGAAGCAAGAATAATTTACAACTGTGAATCAATTGAATGTTTAATAGGTACAGAAAGTAGTGCTAGTCTTTTAAAATTAACAGTAGCATTCAAATTGCACTTTGCCTATACAGAAAAAAAATTAAAAAATTATTTAGAATTGAAATCATAAATTCTAAGATGTTAGTCCATTTCTGAGATGTTGTTGTGTTTATCTTCCATGACTATTCATGACCGCATTTTATTGTTTTGTATATTTTAACGTATTGATGCAATATATTATTTACATATGTATGTCCAGCCATTTGCTATGAGATAAAAACACTTCAACATTACACACTATTATGCTGTCTGGCCTTCATTACTGTTCAACTTTATGCCCTGGTATTTGCATCTCATTAAACATTGTCATCTAGTGATAAATTGCCATGTATATTTCAAGAACAAATCAAACTGAAATTTCAAGAGATTGCATTGTGTAGTGCATAAACAATCATCCTAATGAATAAGCTGTTTGGAGAGGGACAAATTGCACAAAGCAAGCAATCAATGTAAAAGAATACTAGTATGAATGCTTAAATTATGTTCGTTATTTGACAGTCAGTGACATTATTCAAAACGTGGGGGAGAGGAAAGAAGAAAGAAAAATTTGGAATAACAAAACTTCCAGAAGTGAAAAGCTGCTTCAAAATTAAGGACATTGGTTTGCAAAGTTACATTTTAATACTTCAATTTGCCTGCTTCCCCCTTTTTTTTAATATACATGTATCAGCAGATTAGTGCTCCTAACTATTATTATTGATTCAATTATGAGAGTAAGTTATTTTTTTTTTCTGCCACAACTTCCATTTTGCTTCAGGCAATGAATATGGTATGTTTTGGTAGAATTACAGAGGGTTGTATTGGAAAATTTCTGAACAAAATTGAAGTCCAGAAGAAAAAAGAAAAGTTAGCTTATAGCTATATTAACTTTTGATGATTTGAAAAAGAAAATAAAAACTTAGTTGTATTTCATTTTCTGGCTAAGCAAAGAGAAGAGAAGCTGACCCCTGACCAGCATTTCATGTAGGTGATGCAGAAGATAGTCTTGATAACAGTTAGCATTTAATCTTCGTATACTGAAAGGAAGACAAAGTAAGCAGAAGGTCACAGAAAAGGATGTTTGTGGCCACTTAATTGCAACATGTGGAAGAGGGCTTTTGCAGCTGAGGATGATGGTTCAGTAAAACCATCGAAACTAGTCCTGTAAAATTTGAAAATATAACGCCGATTTTTGTTGTTTGACTTCTAAATTAATGTTTGTTCGCCTGTTATTGTATCTTCAATATGGAAGTGCTGATCAGTTAACTATGGTAGAAGGAAATGTCTAAAGGATGAGATGACTTCATGGAGACTTTATAAGGGTAAAGGGCTTCTTTTATATAATACACAGAGATACTTTCATGCAGTTCGTTTACAGTCACTACAGTTTAATTTTTTTAATAATTTTTTAGTTCTTATGAACATCTGCTCTTTGTTATAACTAAAGACATTTCTAGTGTTATATTTTTAACTGATTGGTATGGGCTTAATTGGTATAAGATCATTTATTTCTTAATTTTTGTTTGTTTTACTATTTTAAAGTTTTTAATATTTTTCTGATACCTTGAAAATTTTAATGGTCATTTCTTTAGTGGTTAGACTGTAATCTGAAAATCTCAGTTTCCAGTATTTTTATTTATTTTATTTTTGATTTTAAACAGTAATAAACAAGATAGGATAAGATGTACTCTAAGAGGGTAATTGTCTGGGCATGACTGGAAGAGTATGTGTCTTAGGAGACAATACATGGTGTCATTTTTATGATGTCTGCTATAAAATATAGTCAGAGTTCTTAAATAATCTCAAATAAACATCTTTAGTTTAGAGAATAAAAATCGACATATTTTCCCCTGGTTCACTGTTTTGGAAGCATCAAACTGCGTAAACTCTTAAAAAATAAAAGAAGATAACTTACTGTCCGATGTTTACATGTTTATATGTTTTACTTTTAACTAAGTGAATGCTCTTGGGGAAGGGGAATTAATCCAAACTGCAAGGAATACATTGTTAGCTCTTCCGTGTCAAGTTTTAAATAATGATTCGGGTTTTAAATGCCATCAAATTCATATGTGTCACATTTAGATAAGGGTGAAAAATTTCATATAAATTAAGACAATAACACGCCCTACATTTTACACTACAATGAACTAACAATTTCAGCTGCAGCTTCTTCACATAAAAAGATTGTTACTTAAAAATATGCTGGATTTGGCAGGAAGTCAGCAAATGTGCAGTGAATTGGAGGAATTGAATTTCCGTATGCGGTTTGATGCATAATGATAACTTGAAGAACAGGGTGAAAAGCCATGAAAAAGTCGTTCTAGCCTTGTATGTGTTTTCAATTTTTATTCAATTATTTTGTTTACGTGATTATGGCAAAACCTCAAGGGCTATCTGCCTACATCAACCCTCTGACCAGCAAGGCTGTATGTAGATATAATTCAGGAGCAGGAATTTTGATGGTGTAGAAGTGCTGATACATAATGACTAGGAAATTGGAGGCAAAGGCAGATTAAATCTTCACTTCATGCAACTTTCAAATTTCATCAACAAATTTTCAGAAACATGTTGTGGCTATGCACATGTCGGCACATTAAATGTGCCTGTTCCAAAAGGCTTACATTTTTGATAACTTTGTAGCAAGAAAGCAGCAGCAGACAGACAGCAGTCTAGCTAGGCCAAAGTGTAGAAAGCAAGTGCGTTATGTTCAGGATGAAATCTTAAGTCAAACTGAGTTAGTTGTGGTTCTCAAAGCATTTTGATTGGATAGTTAATATTGCTGTAAAATTATTATTGGCTGCTTGAGTTTTAGTTCAATTTACATCACCAGAATTAGTAAGAGTCGTATAAACATAGATTTTTCTCGAAATGACACAGTGCAAATAGATGTTGCTATTTTTAGAATAGAGAAGGAAAATTAATTTATGCTGCTAATTTAATCTTTTACATATTCTTTATTTTTCTTGCATATCCCCCCTCCAAAAAAAGAGAAAAGGCAGAGCGATAGAGGAGCCTTTTTGAAGAAAAAGCATTAGAGTAGCAAAACATGAGATATATAATTTTGAAACATACAAAATATAATATTAGCTTTAGAACATTAAAACTATAGTACATAA